CCTCCTCCTCCTCCCCCTCTCCCTCCCCTCTTGTCCCCTCTCAGTCTCTGGCAAGGACTGGGTGTTTATTTCAGTTCTGGCCCGGGCTTTGTGCGTCTCCTTTTCCCCATCAGAATGCCCTCCCCCTCCCTCCTCCTATCAGTCCCCAGCCCCTGGTCACAACCCGGCTTCATACTGTTGGGTCTCAAAGCACATGTTTTTCCAATTGAATTAAATCTAAATGAATGGAATGGAGGGTGGCTTCCCTGTCCAGACTCGTGGCTCTGGGCTCTCTGGAATGTAGGACCTGAGGGTCCCCTGTCCTGGATCACTGGGGGCTCTAACTACTGATATTTTTGTTCCAGACTGCCTATCCCAATAGTCTGTAGAGCTGTATGGAGCCCTGGTGGAACATGGGGGCACTGACATTTAGGCAGGGGGGCTAGGGAGGAAGGGAGGGCCTCAGACTGTTGGCCCCAGGCGACAGACAGATATTTCCTCTGATTTAGAACTGGCAGGGACCTTACGCATAATTAGCCCAACTACCTCATTCTACAAATGAAGAAATGGAGTTGAATTGATAGTTCAGAGAGTAAATGGCACATCCAATATTGGAATCCAGGCTATCCAAGTCAAGCCTGCTTCCACGCTCTGGAGGAGAAACTGAGTAGCCTTGTCTGCTGGCTCCTTCCCTACTGCCTGCAAACATGCCCATGTCTCTCCCATCAAAACACTGAACTTAAGCTTTCTAGCCCCACTATCATCCTCTGTCTCCTCTGACCTTGTGGTCAAACTCCTTGAAAAGGCCTCTGTAATAGATTCTCTCATTCTCTTCTTAACCACTTACAATCCAACTGCTGGCCTCATCGTTCAACTAAAGCTGCTCTCTCCGAAGTCACCAGTGATCTCTTAATTGCTAAATCCAGTGGCCTTTTCTCAATCCTCATTCTTGATTTCTTCGAAGGCTTTGACACTGCTGATCACTCTCTTTTCCTTGATATTCTCTTCTCGCCAGGTTTTCAGGATACCACGTTCTCCTGGTTCTCCTCTTACCTATCTGACCTCTTCCTCTCTGTCGCCTTTGCTTCATCTTCATCCAAGTCATGCCCAATAACTATGGGTGTCCCTCAGGGCTCTCTGTCCTGGGCCCTCTTCTCTTCTCTCTCTATGCTACTTCACTTGGAGATCTCATCAGCTCCCATGGATTTAATGATCATTTTTATGCTGATGATCCTCAGATCTACCTATCCCGCCTTAACCTCTCTGCTGGCCTCCAATCTCACATCTCCATCTGCCTTTCAGAAAACTCAAATTCAACATGTTCAAAACTGAACTCATTAGCTTTCCTCTTAAATCCTACCCTCCCCCCACTACCTTCCCTATTACTGTAGAGGGCCACACCATCCTCCCAGTCCCTCAGGCTCACAACCCTGGAGTCATTCGGGATTCCTCACCATCTCTCACCCCCCCCCCCCCCCCCCCCCCCCCCCCCCCATATCTGAGCTATTGCCAAGGCTTATCAATTTCTTCTTTTCAATATCTCTCCAATGTACCCCCTTCTCTCTTCTGACACTGCCACCACCCTGGTGCTGACTCTCATTGCCTTATGATTAGACTGATACAAAAGCCTGCTGGTGGGTCTGCCTGCCTCGTCTTTCCCCCTCCAGTCCACTTTCCATTCAGCTGCCAATGTGATTTTCCTAAAGTGCAGGTCTGACCATGGCACCTTCGTCCTCAGTAGACTTCATTGGCTCCCCATTGCCTTCAGGATCAAATATAAAATCCTCTGTTTGCAGTTCAAAGCCCTTCATAACCTAGCTCACTCACCCCCTTCTACTTTTCTGATTCACACACTTTGATCCAGTGACACCGACCTTCTTACTGTGCCTTCACTCCAACTCTCAGCTCTGGGCATTTTTTCTGACTGTCCCCCATTCCATGTCCATCCTGGCTTCCCTGGCTTCCTTCAGTTCCTAATTAAAATCTCATCTTCTACCTTTCCCTTGCCTTTCCCAACGCCTCCTAATTCTAGTGCCTTCCCCCTTTAAATTATTTCCTATTTATCCTGTATAGAGCTTGTTTGCATGTATCTGTTTGCTCATTGTCTCCCCTGTTAGATTGTGAGCTCCTTGAGGGCAGGGACTCTCTTTTGCCTCTTTGTGCATCCCCTGCTTAGCATAGTGCCTAGCACATAGCAGGCACTTAATAAATGTTTATTGACTGACTAATTGACTGATTGGTCCTCTGAATGTGGTCCAAATTGAAGACAACTTGCTGTTGTCTTCAGCTGTCAGATGTTGAGCAGGAACAGATAAGGGATTAAGGGCTGTCCAGCATTCAGGGACTTGGAGGAGCCCACAGTATGCCCCCTGTTCCCTTTGCTCTCCTCTAGAGAGGCAGCTCTCAGGGTAGACACACAGACCCCACCCCCAACTGCCCTAAACTGACCCTGGAACTCCTCCTGGGCCAGCCCTGCTCAGCTGGGGCTCCAGGAGGACCCACAGCTAGGGCTTCAGTAGATTTCCCAAGAACTCGACCTTCTGGGCTCCTAGCCAGTGCTAGGTCCCCCAGGACTCCCTGGCTTGGGAACTTCACACTACACTAGGTGTCTCTTTCCCTCTAAAGCACTCCTCTCTCGTTCCTGATGCCCCACCCTTGCTTCACTTTCCTCCCCCCCAGCCCTGAGGTGAACTTGAAGGAAGGATTCTGGGGCCCTTGTTGCCATCACCCCTTCTCTTCTACCTTACCAGAGAACAGGAGGCTGAGGATAAGAGAGCCCCCCAAGTCCAATCCTGGGGAAATGGAGTATCCTCCTGTCTCCACAAATTCACCGCCCAGGCTAAGACAATGTTTTGACCTACAACCCTGTCTTTAGCCTTACTCAGTTACCTCTGGGAAGGATTTTAGAAGAAAGGTAAATGGAGAGTAGACCTCAACCTTCCTTCCCAGGACTGTTACAAAGAATTCTTGCACTTGGGGTATAGTAAAAGAGGACAGTATGACCCTAGGTCTGGTCAAATCAAGAGACAGTTGGGGGATAGCCCACCTCCCAGAGAGTGACCAAGAGACCATCTGAGACAGGCCTGGACAGGATGGGAGAGAACAGGGACCTTGGGAGCTCAAGCTTCTGCTTGACATCTCTTTAGACTATTGATCCATCTTCCTCCTTCCTTCCTTTCCCCTCTCCTCTCTGTGTTGTCATTAAAAAAGCAGCTTTTCAGGAAACTGTCTCTTTTCCCCAAACCAGCCTTTTATGGTGCCTGAGTAGAGGTAGAAAGACAGAGACACAGAGAGAGACAAAGACAGACAGACAGAAAAAGCAACCAAGTGATATATGTATGTATGTATGCATTTTTGTAGATGTATGAATATATGTGTGTATATGTGGCATCTGTGCATCCCTTCACATGTGGACCCCCAAAAAACTCATTATGGGTTCAGGCACTTTCTGGGTCAAAACCATAGCTCATGAACCCTCATCAGTGTATTTAGTTTTATCAACCAGTCAGAGGACACATTAATTCTTTTTTTGTTCTTTTTCTTTTTTAACACACATTTTAAAATTTTGAGTTCTAAATTCTCCCTCCCTTTTGTCCCTCCCCTATTCATCGAGAAGGCATGCAATATGATGCCCATTATACATGAGGAGATAGTAATTTAAAGCAAACTTACAAGTTATGTGACTCTGGACAAATTCTCTCACCTCCCTAAGCCTCAGTTTCCTCCTCTACACAATGAAGATAATACTTGTACTACCTATTCCATAGGACTGCTATAAGAAAAAGTGCTTTGTAAGGCTCAAAGTGTTACATAAATTGGTATAGTTTATGCTTATTAGGACCTCTTCTGTGCATATGTGCGCCTCTGTGTGTAAATATGTATGCATATCTGTGGTCTTTACTCTACATCAGACTGCACTGAAGGGGAGCCTGGTAGTCCCAGACTAGGAAGGAGGAGACAAGATCCTGACCTCAGGGAGCCCTGAGTCTGGGCAGATGTTGCCCCTCTAAAGGCAGTTAAATGGCCCTATGGATAGAGTGCCTAACTTGGAATCAGGAATGCCTGAGTTCAAAACCTGCCTTAGACACTTATTAGTTTTGTGACCCTGGGCAAGTTATATAACCTTCCTCAGGTTCCCCATCTGTATAATTGGAATAATAATAATACCTATCTCCCAGGGTTGCTGAGAGGTTAAAATGAGATAACAATGGTAAAGTGTTTAGCAAACTTTAAAGCATTAGCTAAATGCTGATTATTATCTTAGCTTGAAGAGAGTAAAGATACTTCAAACTTGGGGCTCCCTGAGGCCAGGACTATGTCTTCTTTGAGATAAGAGAAGGAGAAGGAAAATTAGCATTTATATCATGCCTACTGTGTGCTGGACACTATGCTAAGCACTTTTTACAAATATTATCTTAGTTGATCCTTACAACAACCCTGGGAAGTAGGTGCTATTATTATACCCACTTTACAGTTGAGGAAACTGAGGCAGACGGGTTAAATGACTTGCCCAGGATCATATAGCTAGTAAGTGTCAAAGTGCAGATTTGAACTCAAGTCTTCCTTACTCCACACAGCTCTCTATTCACTGTGTCACCTAACTGCCTGAAGGAAGACACTGTGGTCATTTCCCCCCTTTAAGGTAGAAGAGATAATACCTCTTCCTTGGATGGGGGGTGGGGAATGGGGTGGCCAGGATCCTGGAGGACAGGGGTGTTTCCATTTCAGAAGAGCAGCGATATATCTACCATCATACTGGGGTTCCCTGAGGGCACGGTCTTGTTTCTCTCGCAGGCTGAGAGTTCCCCATGGGAATGATTGTGGCTTGTCCTCCCTCTGTCTTCCCAGCGGCACCCAGGAGGGCTCTTTGGCCAATGAGTCACCTTCTCTCCCTTTCTCTGCAGCCCAAACCCCAAAATGCCATCACCATCGCTGTGTCGTCGAGGGCCCTCTTCCGAATGGAGGAGGAGCAGCGCATCTACAAGGAGAAGGGAGTGGAGGAGTATGTTCGGTACCAGCTAGAGCACGAAAATGAACCACTCAGCCCAGGGCCCGCTTTCCCCTTTGTGAGAGTAAGTGTGGATGAGTCCAGCTCATTCCTCCCTTCTCCCATCTTTGCCCAGCCTGACAATATAGTCCCACAATGTAGATTGGCAGGAAGGGTTCATTCTTAGGATTCTAGAAGTTAGAGCTGGAAGGACCCTAGAGATCATCTCGCCCAATGCAGTCATTTTACAAAGGAGGAAACTGAGGCCCATCTGTGCAACCAACATTTATTAATCACCTACTGTGTGCAAAGCCTTGTGCTAGGCACTGGAGGTAAAAAACTTAAATAAAATAGGATCCTTGCCCTCATCGAGCTTAAAGTCTGATGAAAGACAATGGATAATGAAACACATCCTTTCAATGCTTCATGATCAGTGAGCTCAACTCCATAGATCCTCTTTGGGCAAATAGCCTAACCCCTTTATGCTGTCTGCTAGACAGCTTTCATGAACTATTATGGCCAAAAGATGAATCACCTTGCAGGCAGCCCACAAGTATAGGTGTGACGTCCCTCCATTGAGCTAGTCTGGGTCTTGGGTGGCAGATCCAGTCTCATTGGACCAGTACTCAAAGCCTTTCCATCTTGGTGGAACCTACAAGAGCCTGTGCTTTGAGAGGCCAGAGGGAGCTCTGTACTATGACAAGATAGCAGAGGAGAAAGTCAGTGGAAGGTCATTTCAATACATAATATCACGTGATGCATCCATTAGAGAGATGCCAAATACGTTGTGAGGTTCCAGGTGATTCAATCCAAGGTGAGGTGAAGGATGCCTTCTTGGAAGAGGTGGCATTTGAATTGAACTTTAAAAGATGATTTGTGGGGGCAGCCAGGTGGCACAGTGGATAGAGCACTGGCCCTGGAGTCAGGAGGACCTGAGTTCAAATCTGACCTCAGACTCTTGACACTTACTAGCTGTGTGACGCCGGGCAAGTCACTTAACCCCATTGCCTAGCAAAAAAATAAAAAATAAAAAAAAAATAAAAAACAAAACAAAGGCAAAAAAAAATGGTTGGAATTTAAAAGGCAAAGAGGAATAGGGAAGGCATTCTATGGATATGGGCAGCTAGGTGGCATAAAGGATGGAGTACTGGGCCTGGAGTCAAGGAGACCAAACAACTAAAGGCCTAAACCACAAAACAAATCTATGGATATGGAACAGTTTGAGGGAAAGCACAGAAGGCTGCATGTGTGGAGGACACAAAGGGAATTCTAATCTGATTCGAACACTGAGCATCCAAAGGAACCTCTCAGTCAGTGGTGTGCTGAGAAATGTTTAACAACCAGCTCTCTGAGGGAAAAATGCATACTTGGCACACTCCAAAGCTTAATCTGCATTAGTATTAACACTTTCTCCATCAATTCCTTAGGCCAGACAATCAACAAAACACCACATTGAGCCAGACTCAGTAGTGTTGCCAATTCCCTAGGCATAAACACTCATGCTGAATTGGCTCTCAGAAGCCAGTATCAGCTACCTCCAACGCTCCCCCCACTCCTACCCCTGCCAAACTCCACTTAGCGCCTTCTATGACATCAAGGGCAGACTTGAATAGGATGTGCTCAGCATCGTTAGAAAGACTACCCACAAATGGGAGTACTGAAATATGACATCATCAGCCTTGCCTTGAAGACCTCTTGCCCATTCCTAGGACCATTCATAATAAGAGCTATCATGCATATGGAGCTTTAAGGTTTGCAAAGTGCTTTACAAATATTAACACATTTGGTCCTTACAATAACCCTGGGAGGTAGGTATTATTATGACCCCCATTTCACAGAAGAGGAAGCTGAGGCCAATAAGGTTAAGTGACTTGCCCAGGGTCACCCAACTAGTAAGTGTCTGAGGCTGAGATTTGAACTCAGGTTTTCCTGAATAGGGGCAGCTAGGTGGTTCAGTGGATAGAGAACTGGGCATCGAATCAGGAAGACTCATCTTCCTGAATTCAAATCTGGCCTCAGATACTTACTAACTTCACCCTGTTTGCCTTGGTTTCCTCATCTGTAAAATGAGAAGGAAATGGCAAACCACTCCAGTATCTTTGTCAGGAAAATCCCCAAAGGGGTCACAAAGAGTCAGACACAACTGAAAAACAACTGAATAACTTCCTGACTCCAGGTCCAGTATTCACTGTTCCAGCCAGTAACTGTATCCATCCACTGTATCTACTATGCCACCTGGGAACTCTATTAGCTAGCATGGTTTTCCTTTCAAGTCTAAATCTTCCTGTCTGAAACTCCCCCCATTTCTTCTAGTCCTGCCCTCTGTGACAAAGCAGAAGAAGCCTTCCACAGAACCCTCCAGATATCCTAAGACAGCAATCACGTCACTGCTAAGTCATCCCTAGTTTCTTCCACACACCCTCTTATGGTGTAGTCTCCAAACTTCTTACCTTCCTGCTTGTCCACTTGTAGATACAATCTAGCTTTTTTATGTACTGCCTAAAATGTGGCACTCAATCCTGAACCCAACATTTTAACCTTGTTTCTTCTACAGAGAATAATAATGATCATAATAAATGTACTCTCCATGTCTCCATCCAAGCCATTAGTAAAGACTGAAGAGCACTGGATTTGGCATCAGCAGATAAGAGTTTAAATCTTGGCTTGACTACTTACCATCTGTATAACTGGGAAAATCATTTCTTTTCTCTGGGTCTCAGTTCCCTGTTCTAGAAAAAGAGATGATTGGACTAGATAATCCTCCAGTGTACATTCAACAAATATTTATTAAATGCTTAGTGTGAAGAGCCGTGTGTGGGGTTTTGAGAAGAGATACTGGTCTAGCTAAGACATAAACCTTGCCCTCAGGGAGCTCATTGTGTAGCAGGAGCATAAGACACAAACATAGGTAACCATAAGGCCCACGATCGCATGATAAGTGCATTGGAGAGGCACCAAAAAAAGTGTGAGATTGGAAGGACAAAGTTGTGGGGAGGTGGGGAGGGACAGAGGTTAAGGAAGGCTTCACAGAGCATTCATTTTGTGATGCTCACAGGACATAGAGAGGGAGAATGCAGAGGGATCTTCTGATACTCCTTACCCAGGGGGATACTCCTTACCCTGACTTCCTGTGTGACCTCGGACATGACATTTTCTTATTCCCTTTAGATCTCTGATTTTCCTTTTGTACAATAGGAAGGATGCTGCTCTCCTAGCATCCCATGTGGGTGACCCTGGGAGACCAGCTAAGGCAATCTCACAAGACCCTTCTGTAGCCTAACAAGTACCTCACGGGGGAATAAAGTCGAGAACAGATAGAGGATAGAGGAACAGATTAGAGGAAGCAACGCGCTCCAATTTTAGAGTTTAGACCTTGGGAAAATTCACAACAAAAACTGGTCTGGACTAGATAATGGAGGAAGGTTATGGAGGCACTTTCAGGACAGAATAAGCAGATTGGGTTTTGTTTGGGAGGGTTTGGGGGCAAAGGGTCAGTTGTGGGGTGCCACTAGCTGTGGGAAAGCTCACAGGCCTAGGATTTGAAAGATTCTCCCTAGTGTGACTAGAATGGAACTTGGGGGCAAGGGAGTAGCTGGAATGGCCCTGTGTTTGTTATCACCTTAGTGGGTGGGTTTATTCCCTGTTCTGTGGAATATAAAATAAGCTGAGGAGCTCCTTGAGGTCCAAGGAGGCTCTATGGTCTAGGCTACAGGCTCTCCCTTCCCCTGCCCAGGCTCTGGAGGCTGTGAACAGCCGGCTTCGGGAGCTGTATCCTGACAGTGAGGACCTCTTCGACATCGTCCTCATGACCAACAACCATGCCCAGGTTGGGGTCCGGCTTATCAACAGCATCAACCACTACAGTAAGTATGGCACCCCATGTAATGTAGTCAGGACAAGAGACCCACCCACAAACCACCCTGTTCAGGAAGCACAGACAGAGCCCCTGCTGTGCCCCAGCATCTATGACAGGCACAGAGATACAAACACAAAGTAAAAAACAATTCCTATCTCCCTTCTGCTCCAGGATGTGGGAGAAGAGGAAACACACAACAAAGCCAAGTATATACAGGATAATTTGAGGAGAAAGGACAGAGCAATCATAATCAAAAGGGATTGTGGAAGGTTTTCCATAGCAGATGGTACATGATCTGAGCCTTGGAGGAGGTTAAGGATTCTAAGAGGCCAGGTGGGAGGAGGAAGTTTATTCCAGGTATGCAAAGGCATGGAGGTGGGAGATTAGGGACTGAGTTCAATGAACAGCAAATAAGTTAGTTTGGTTGGACCATAGAGTGTATGAAGTGGAGTGGTACATCTGAAAAGGTGGACTTGAGCCAGCCTGTGAAAAGTTTTAAATGCCAACCTTAGGCAACCTTAGGCATGTTCCAGAAAAAAATTGGGAACCACCAATATTTGTTGAGTAAAGGGAGTGACATTGTCAAACCTGTGCTTTTGGGAAGATTGTTTTGACAGTTACGTGGAGAATGGATTAGAGGGGAACTGGAAAATGGAAGTCCAATTAGGAGGCAGTTGCAATAGTTCAAGGAACAGGTAATGAGGGTCTGAACCAGGATAGTAGCCATATTAATAGAAGAAGGGGATGAATATGATGAGAAGTGCTGTAGGGATAGAATCAAAAAGAATTAGCAGCTGATTGACTATGGGGACTGAGAGAGAGGGAAGAGTTGAGATGACTCTGAGATTATGAACCTGGGTGTGTGGAAAATTAATCGTGCCTTTGAAAGAGATAAGGAAGTTTAGAGAAGTATCTCAATGTGTGTGTGTGCGCGCCTGCACATGTGTGGAAGATAATGAGGTTTGTTTCGGAAATACTGATTTTGAGATGACATCCAGAGACATCCAGGAAGAAAGGACCAGTAGACTTTCAGGGATAAAATAGTGATAACAGGCTTTTTGGTGATGCTCAGAAGAAAGGTTGTATCTGTAGAATAAGAAGTCATCTGCATAGAGGTGATCATTGAATCCACGGGATGAGATCTCTAAGTTAGAGAGACTGTTGAGAAAGAAAAAAAGGGAGATTAGAGTAGGGTTTGAGAGAATTAGGATTAGGGTTATATTCTGTTCAAGGAAACAGAATGACAGGAGACTCCCACTGTTAGGGGTCAAGACTTTTCTCTCTGGATTTGTTCTACAAGTATAGAATAATGGGAACAGGAGGGGATCTTTGAATAAACTGTAGAATACAAAACATTAGAGAGGTAAGGGATCATAGCACACAGTATGTCTGAACTGGAAAGGACCTCAGAACATTGAGGGGGAGGGCACAACAGGTGCTGTCCAAAACTGGTGCCAGAATGTAAACATTTTCCTTGTTAGATGCTGAATGACCCTTTATTGAAGATGTTATAAAGAGGAATTTCACTCAGGTCCCTGAAGACCCTTCCAAATCTGTGATTTGCCAATTCTGTGACCTGAGAATGTGGAATGTCACTCCCCAGTAGAAGTGACCTGAGATTATAGAGCTGGAAGGTACCTTAGCAGAACGGGATACAAGTGCCAGACTTGTATTCAGGAGAGCCTTGTTGGGTCTGAGTCCAGCCTTGACACTTACTAGCTGTGTAATCATGGGTAAGTCACTAACTCTCTCAGGACTTCAGTTTTTTCATCTGTAGAATGGGGATTATTATCCTTATGCTGCCTAACTCAAAGGATTGTCATGAGAAAAGTACTCTGCAAACTTGGAAGTACTGTATGAACATGACTTGTTCTTATTGATGTTGTTAATATTAGACCTCGAAGGCACCTAGACCATAGAAGGTCAGAACTGGGAAGGATCTTAGAACCTAGAAGGTTAGAACTAGAAGGGTCCTTAGCATATAGAATGTCAGAGCTGTGAGTGGTCTTATAACATATAATACTAAATTATGATGATGATAATAATCTTTCCAGGGCTTAGTTTTCTCTTCTGTAAAATGGGGATAATCATGCCATATAGTGAGGAAGAAAAAAAAAACCCTTTAAAAGTCTTAGAGAGGGGCAACTAGGTGGTGCAGTGGATTGAGCACTGGCCCTGGAGTCAGGAGGACCTGAGTTCAAATCTGGCCTCAGACACTTATTAGCTGTGTGACCCTGGGCAAATCACTTAATCCTATTGCCTCAAAAAAAAAAGTCTTAAAGACGCATCATGACTGTGAAGAGTATTAGACTCTTCTAGAGTCAGGAAGGACTGGGTTCAAATGTTGTATCTGACATTTCTTCTCTGGGTGACCGTGAGCAAGTCATTTAGGATCTCACAGCCTCAGTTTCCTCATCTGTACGCCCATCTTACAGTGAGATAAAGTCTATAAAGGGCTTTGTAAACTTTAAAACATTTCTATAAATGTGAGTTACTGTTATTAAAACTCCAGAAGTTGGAGTTAAATGACCTGCCTGTGGCCATCCATGGCTTCCAGTGACAATGACCTTGACAACACAAGATAGGTAAGGTCCTGGAGCCCTTCATATTAGCATAGCCCCACCCATCTCCCACAGTGCTCTCAGGAGGGCAATAGGACATCATTATATGGTTACACATAGTAATACTCAGTAACTGCATGCAATTCCCCCAAAGTGCCCTGGGAGTGTCATTTCAAAGCCTTACCCTGCAAGGACAAGGGGGTAGTCTGATCTTTACACATTTGTCAGTTTGGGCCCAACCCTTTTCCCCAAAGCCTCATCCAATAATAATAACAGCTCATGTTTTGTAAACTTTTATTCATGTTTACAAAGCACTTTCAATCTATTATCACATTTGATCATTGTGATATCCCCTATGAGGCTGGTGACCCATTTTTCTGAAGAAGAAACTTAGGCCCATAGAAGGGCAATGACTTACCCAATGTCATACTAGTAAGCTTGTTTAGACTTGTCTAGATTATCTAGTCTCAGGGTCTAGATTTGAACATTAATCTTTTTCTGTGTCCTTACCACTACACCATGCTGCCTCCTGGAAGGAGAGGCCATCAGGAGAAAGGTGGTGTTTACCCAACATTGGTCATTTATTGAGCATCTTCTGTATGTGGAACCACTGTGCTAGCCTTTCTTTCCTCCCTCTACCCAACAGGATACCCTGTATCCCATGGGCCCAGCACCAATAGCCTATATACAATGGAGCCAAGATGGTGGCACCTACCCATTGGATTTGGTCATGAGGTCCTGAAATTTGACCATGACTTTATTTTATGATCAGGTGGGGCTGATTAGGCCTGCTTGATGCTAACTAGTTTGGCCTCAGTTTTAACCCTTTTCCCTAGACCTATTCATCGAGAGGTTCTGCATGACTGGGGGAAATAGTCCCATCTGCTACCTGAAGGCCTACCACACCAACCTCTACCTGTCCTCTGACGAAGAGAAAGTGAGTGAAGCCATAGGAGAGGGTGAGTCTGGGGCAGGGAAGGGGATGGGCCAGGGGTGCCAAGAAATCTTAGGAGGATAGAGAAAACCCTGGACAGAGCCTGCTGAGGGAGGATCCTGCACAATATAGAGGGTGGTGTTGTGTTCTTGGTTACCATGATGATCCAGGTGGGGAGGGTACTCTTTGGGATGTGGGGCTGAAATGGAGTCTTCATTCTGCGCTCCTGGGCTCTGGGAACAATACCAACAGTTACTCCTGTTTATACAGGGTGTCCGAAAAGTCTTGGGATACTATGTATACTTTTTTTTTTGTTTAGTCATTTCCAGTAGTGTCCAACTCTTCATGACCCCATTTGGGGTTTTCTTGGCAAAGATACTGAAGTGGTCAGTCATTTCCTTTCTCCAGTTCATTTTACAGATGAAGAAACTGAGGCAAACAGGGTTAAGTGACTTGCCCAGGGTCACACAGCTAGTAAGTGTATGGGGCCGGATTTGAACTCAGATCTTCCTGCCTCCAGGTCCGGCACTCTATTCATTGCACCACCTAGCTGCCCCCTATGGATATCTTTTTACTACATAAAAATACTCTTCTCACAATATCTCTGAGAGGTAGGTCATACAAGTGTTATTAGTCCCATTTTAAAGATGAGAGAACTAAGGCTCATTGAGGGGAAGTAATTTCCCCCAAGCTTTGTGATGGAGTCACACAACTAATGAGTGTCAAAAGTCACAACTTGAACCCAGGCCATTCTGAGTTCTCTGTGGATTTGTTCTTACTATGTTTAGATGGATAAGATCCCAGGAAGTGGAGCTTCTGGTTTCCATGGAAACCCAAAGCATGGTGTAGACTAGTGTCCATGAACCTCCTGCAGTCCTCTGCCCCATCCCCCAATCTCAGCAGGAGCAGGGGCCCCTTGGGGATGGCACAGAATCTCTCAGCTATGCCTGAGGAACTAGACACCAGAAAGTTCTAGAAGGGATAATGTCAGTGCTTGCATCACATTGCAGGAGGGACACTGGTAAAATGGAACATGGCCAGAGGAGTGCAAACAGGGTGGGGATATGCCTGGAAATAAACTTGCTGAGGTGACCTGGACTTAGCTTCTTCCCAGTAGGAGCCTCAGTTTCCCTATCTGTTAAAAAAATTCCCTTATGGTTCTGACATTCTCCATGTTCTTTTCCAGCTCTATGTTCTCAGACCCCCTTTAGCTCTAATGTTCTTTGTTCTGAGTTCCCTTCTAATTATGTCAATTCTCTAGGGTCCCTCCTACCACTGATACTCAGGGTTCTAAGATTCCTGCCATCTCAGACATTCCTTATTCTTGGGGCCCTTCATCCTTAATGTCCTCTGTTCTAAAGCCCCCATTCTAGGGACCTTTCCAGCTCTAACATTCTGGCATTCTGTGAGTCTGGGCTCTGTTCTGCCTGGGTGATATGACTGGCTCTCCTCTGCCTCTCTGTTAGAGCCTGGACTAGGGCTGGGAGCCCTCAGGGTCTGTCCACAGGACCAGGAGTCCTTCCAGAGACTCCATCTGGTCAGAAAGGATAGCTCAGGGATCCCAATACATGCTCCCCTCCCCCACCCATTCCTCTCAGCATGGCCCAAATATGAACTGTCCAGAGTGAGAGAGGCACATGTCAGGCAAGCCCTTGCTTCGTTCCCCCAAGATCCTAAGAATAGTGGGGGCTGGGCTGTGAGAAGCTTTAGCCAGAGCCATCTGGGGAGCTGGAGCCCCATAGCTTTTCTACAGTGGAGAGACCATCAGGACCCTGTTGAGGGGAACCCTCCTTCCCTGGGATCACTTGGTCACTCATGGCTCTCAGCAGTTTATTGGGCACAGCTTCCAAATGGGACAGTGGGGGTGGAGGAAGGAGGAGGAAAAAACACACACATACACACACACACACCATCTGGGTTGGAACAGACAAGAGAGAAGGGAAATTTCCCCTCTGTTCTCAGGTTTTTTAGGGCAGGACAGACCTGGCATTCTGAAGGGCAGAGGACACATTCAGCCTTCACAGGTGGATGGATGCAGGCTGGCTACAGTCATACTGGGTGGTTGTGGCATCAGAGGGCTCCAACAGAGGATGCCCCTCAGCTCCCCACCCCACTATTCCTGGTCCATGGCCATCCTTCAAGGCATAGATTGGGTATCTCCTCTTGGAACTGAAAAATCTGAAAATTAGACTCATGGCATGTCAGAGCTGTAATAGACCTCAGAGGCCAGCTAAACCAAGGGCCGTCAACCTTTTATTGTGTCCTGGACCCCTTAAACAAAGGTGAAGCCTATGGACCCCTTCTCAGAATGATGTTTTTAAATGCACAAAATAAAATACATAGGATTATTGAGGAAACCAATTATGTTGAAATACAGTCATCAAAATATTAACAACAACAAAAACAAGTTCACAGATTGGAGGTTAAGAATCCCTGGTTTAGTCCAATCTCCTAATTTTACATAGTAGGAAACAGGTTCAGAGAGGGTGAGTTATTTATATACATAGGATCATAGGGAGGCCGCTTTCTTATTTTACAGAGTTGGAAACTGAGGCCCAGGGAAGTTAAGTGAATTGCCCAAGGTCATACAGGTAGTAAGTATCAGAGGTGAGATTTGAATCCACATGCTCTGACTCCAGAAACAGGTCTCTTTCTGCTGTGCCAGTGAGGGACCAGGGCTAGAGTTCTGGCTTCTTGACTCACATCCCAGGGTGCCTTCTGCCTCTCCAGGTGATTAGCAGAGATGTCTAAAAGCCCGAGTATGAGAAGACCAGGTCCCAAGTCACAAGCCTAGAGGGGGATTGATCCCATACATCTCCTTTGTTTCTTCCCAAAGGGATTGCAGCTGCCACCATCTTCAGCCCCAGCAAAGATGTGGCAGTGCCCCAGAGCCAGCTTCGTGTGGCGTTTGACGGAGATGCTGTTCTCTTTTCTGATGAGTCTGAGCAGATTGTGAAGGCCCATGGGCTCGACATGTTCTTTGAGCATGAGAAGACATATGAGAACAAGCCCCTGGCTCAGGTATATGCCTGAACTCACCAAGCACTCTCATTTCCACACTGAGCCCCTATCATTACTCTGAGCCCTCATCCCCACCCCTGATCTCTCCTCCCCATCCCTGAGCCTCTATCCTTACACTGAGCCCCCATCCAGGATCTATCATCCCCATCACTGAGCCCCCTCCATCCCTAAACTGAATCTCCATCCCCATCACTGAGTCCCCATCCCCATCACCAAGCCCCCTCAATCCCTACACTTAGCCCCCATCCCCATCACTGATCTCTCATCTTCAACACTGAGCTTCTATCATTGAGCGCCTATCCTTACACTGAGCCCCGATCCCTATCACTGATCTCTCTTCCCCATCACTGAGACCCCTCCATCCCTACACTGAGCCTCCATCACCATCACTGATCTCTCCTCCCCATCACTGAGACCCTCCATCCCTACACTGAACTCCCATGCCCATCACTGAGCCCCCATACGTACAATGAGACCCATCCCTGGTATTGAGTCCTCTCCCCATACTGAGCCCCTTTCCCCTCACAGGGCAATGGGAGGATCATTGAGGCTCCAACCTGCCCTGGTCAGGTAAAGTATGGAGCCACCTCCACGTTCTCCCCACAGGGCCCCCTAAAGGGTTTCTTGGAGGCCCTGGGCAGACTGCAGAAGAAGTTTTACTCCAAAGGCCTAAGGCTGGAGTGCCCGATCCGCACCTACTTGGTGACAGCACGTAGTGCTGCGAGCTCAGGGGCTCGTGCCCTGAAGACCCTCCGCAGTTGGGGCCTGGAGACAGATGAGGCCCTGTTCCTGGCTGGAGCCCCCAAAGGCCCCCTGCTTGAAAAGATTCGTCCACACATCTTCTTTGATGACCAGATGTTCCACGTGACTGGGGCACAGGAAATGGGCACTGTGGCTGCCCACGTCCCCTATGGCGTGGCCCAGGCACCCCGGCGGACAGCGCCAGAGAGGCAGGCCCCCCCAGCAGCTCAATAGTCCTTCTGGCCGTTCCGGCAGCGAGGCCTTCTGAAAAAGGCAAAGCAGAGGAGTAGGAAGGATGCTGGCCTCCAAAGAATTGGGTGCAACTGGGGGCTGAATCGTCTTCTCTGTGCCTTGGATTTCTCATCTGCAAAATGGAGTTAATGACTGACCCTGCCCCACAGGTCATTGTGAAGAAAGCTCTTTGTATACTATCAAAATGGGAGCTTTCATTGTTATTGACATTCAGAGCTACCCCGGTTCTACTCACCCAGCCCTCATGATTCCATCTGGTACACAGGGAACCCAGGTCCCACCTGTTGCCCCCCATCCCACAGTGCCTATCTCATTCCCTAGGCGTCCTAGCAGACTTCCCTGCTATGCACATCTAACCCACGTGTCTGTCCTGGGCATGAAGCCAGAATGAGCATAAAGACCCAAGTTGTTCCTGGCTGGGCAGAAGGCTGGGCCAATTCCTTGCCCAAATCCCAAACCGAGGAGAGGCAGTCTCTCAGCTTGGTCCCATTGAAGAGTAGATGGGATCAGGAGGGAGCAGGCAGGGCACTGTCTCTCCCCAGAAGGAGCTTGGGATCTGGGACCTGAGAACCTGGACTGAAATTGGGGTTCTTCCACTTACTACCTGCTTGACCTTGACAGAGAAATTTCCCCTCCCCTGGCTTTGGTTTCTTCATTCATAAAATGAGGAGGGGAGGACTCAGGGGAAGGCGGAAGATTTCCCAGGATCATATGCTCTCCCAGATACAAGGAATCTGTGAGATCATCCATTCCCACCTTCTCATTTAACACAGTCCCCAAGAGTGACTCACCCGGAAAGTGGTGGGACCAGAATTTAAACCTAGGTCCTCAGGCTCCAAGTCCAAAGCTCTTTCCGTGATACTTAGAAATCAGCTGCTCCCCCATAAAACAGTGCTAAGACCAGTTTTAGTCCACACCCATTTTTTTCTTAGTTTGCAAAATTTTTGTTATCAAAAGACCTTCTCAAAATCTATGAAGTTTAAACACACACACACACACACAATTTCCCCTTCTCTTCTCATCATCCTACTCTCCCCACTTCTAGCTCCCTCCTTTCCAACTCCCAATGGTAGGGTAGTAGGAAGGCTGGGGTACCTTGGTGCATGGAGGACGATTCTCAGGCAGGCTCGGGGTGCCCCTCCAGCTCTGTACATTCTGTGGTTTGGGCAAAAGTGCGGGAAACTTACCTGGGAATGTTAGCACAGTGCCTGGGGTTATTACTGCTGTTGTTGCTTGACCTTAATTCTCAAAGAGGACCATGCATCAGGAAAATGGTGGCATGACTTGCAAGTGAATTGGATTTAAGTGAAGAAGCCTGTACAAAGTCACCAGCCTCACTTTCTCCTCTGGAGCCATCTGGGTCTGGTGTTGAGATATAGATCAGGACAACTGGAGATGGCCCCTGTGGGTTTATAGTAAGGTGCTGGGTGGAGCTGGTGGAGTTGGAAGAGAAAGCTAATGGGAACAGAGCCGCCTCATAAGTGTCAGTAAGCAGACTGTGTAATAAGAGTAAGTGCAGTGAATGTAGACAGGCTTTGCTACATCAAAAGGTCCCTTTCAGTTTTCCCTGTCTGTGTACTTTGAGCCTGTCCAGTCCTGACATTCTATGTTCTCACATTCTGTTTACTCAAGTCTTTTCAAGCTCTATTTCTGTGACTCTAGGTGTAACCTAAAATATTGTATCTATGGACTCAGCCAGGCTACTGGGGCATCCGTGGGCTGGGAGAAGTGAAGCAGAAACAAGCAAAGACCTAGTCACATGCGACAAAGCAGAGCCAGGCTTGTTCCAACAGAAATCACAGCAACAGATGGCCGTGCATTCTGATTGATGGCTATGATTTAATTATTGGCTTTGAGCAAAAAAGAATAAGAGACTGAGAGTGAGAGAGAGACAGAGAGAATGGGAGAGAGATTAACAGAATAATACATAAATGGAATCTGGATGCTGAGATAACAGAGTTAGGCAATATTACAGGTGGCTCTGGCATTTAGAAAGGGAAGGCAGAAAGTGGTCACTACCGCCGAAACAAATCAACAAGCATTTATTAAGTACCTACTATGTGCCAGAAGCAGTGTTAGGGGCTGGGTATACAAAGAAAGGCTAAAGCAAAGTCTTTCCCCTAGAGGATCTTTCGTTCTGATGAGGGAGACATCTATTTGTGTAGGAACAAATAAGATATATTGGGGGTAATCTCAGAGGAAAGGCACCAACATTAAGGGGAAGCAGAAAAGGCTTCTTGTAGGGGGTAGAACATTTTGTTGTTGTTGTTATGGTGGTGGTGGTGGTTTCATGGTTGTACCTTCATTCTCTTTCTCTCTCTCTCTCTCTCTTTTTTTTTTTTTTTTTGCTTTTTGGTGAGGCAGTTGGAGTCAAGTGACCTGCCCAGGATCACCCAGTGTCAAGTGTCTGAGGCCAGAAAGAGGAGCTTTTTAATGCAAATGAAACTAATTGTTGGACCAGGGTCCATATATCTCTATATAGATATATATGTATATATATATTTTTTGTGAGGCAGTTGGGGTTAAATGACTTGCCCCAGTCACATAGCTAGTAAGTGTTATGTGTTTGAGGCTAGATTTGAACTCAGGTCTTCTTGACTCCAGAGCTGGTGCTCTATCCACTCAGCCACCTAGCTGCCCCTTTGTTCCTACATTCTCAAAGAGAACCATGACATCAGGAAGGTGATGCCATGACACGCAAGTGAATTGTTTTTAAGTGAGGGAGAGCTATGCAAAGTCACCAGTCTCACCTTCTCCCTCTGGAGCCAGCTGAGTCCAGTGGCAAGATAGAGATCAGGATGATGACCGGAGGTGGCCCTGGATGCAGTGGGAGACCTTGGCCTTTTTAAGCTAAGATCTTTCCCAGGTCTCGGTTTGACTGAGGCAGTGCCCATTCAGTGATTAAGGCTAGGTAACAAATGAGGCAGAAAGCCAGAAAATTGAGTGGGATTTTAAATGAGACTTGAAAGAAGCTGGGGAAGCCAGGAGGTGGAGATGGGGAGGAGGAGAATTTCAGGTAGGGAGACAGCCAATGAAAATGCCTGGAGGCAAGACATGGAATATGTCCTGTGCCGAACAGCAAAGAAGCCAGTCACTGAATTGTAGAGAACACATGGAAGAGAATATGGTGTAAAATGACTGGAAAGCTTTGAAAGTCAAACAGAGGATTTTATATTTGATCATAAAGGCAATTTGGGCGCCAACTGTAATTTATTGAATAGAGGAATAATGTAGCAACTCAGTGGTACAGTGGACAGAGTATTGGGCCTGGAGTCAAGAGAACCTGAGTTCAAATTTGACCTCAGACACAACTAGCGGTGTCACTCTGGACAAGTCACTTAACCTGAGTTTCCTTAATTGTAAAATGGGGATAATAATAATAATGTCTACCTCTCAGGGTTGTTGCAAGGATCAAATAAGATAGTATTTGTAAAGCTCTTAGCCCAGTGCCTGATACACAGTAGGTGCCATATAAATGCTTATTTCTTACCTCACCTTTGCTTTAGGAAAGTCATTTTGATAGTTGAAAGGAGGATGAATTGGAGTGGGGAGAGACCTGAGGTGGGCAGACCCACCAGCCGGCTATTGCAATAGTTCAGGCACGAGATGGCGAGAGTCTGCCCAGGGGGATGGCAGTGCCAGAAAAGAGATGGCATATGCAAGAGATGTTTTGAAGGTAGAATTGAAATTGCAGAAATTCTGGACCACTTTGGTCTGAAGGAATCTAGAAGGTGAGAACTCTCCTGAAAATGAGCTGCTTAAAGAGGATGAGAGCCTTGAAATCCCTGCCAAAGAATCAATCAAAAGACAATTAGAAAACAATTATGTATGAACCATAATGATGCCAGATATAGCTGTAGCTGTGGGAGTTTACACAGGCACTTCTGAGAGCTGGAAGAGATCAGAAGGAGGCTGAGCAAATGAGCCATCGGGCTGGAAGGCAGTAATTGCTGCCAATAACCCTGATGAAACCAGCAACCTTTCTCCCAGGCTGAGGCTACCTCAAGGTAGCAGATAAAAGCAGAGTCCCCGGACCTCTCATTACCTACACTGGCTCTTGGGTCATGACTGCAGAAGTGAGACAACTGACAGGCAGTTGTAAGCTCCTGGTGGCGTCACAGTACAGTTTCAGAGAAGGAGGACGAGTAAGGCAAGGTCTTTGGTCCAGTGAGCTAGCATGGTCTAGGTGGTCTGTGTCTGGAGGTACCTCCTGTTTTACAGGTCTGTGTGCTTGGCAAGGGTGGTAAACTAAAAAAAAAAAAGTGTATCAGAAGATCTGGGTTCAAATCCTAACTTTGGTACTTCCCAGCCATGTGACTATAAGTCAATTTCTTCATCTATGAAATGGGTATAGTAATATTTGTACTACCCACCTCACAAGGTTATTGGGAGGGAAAGAGCTTTGTAAACCTTCAAAAGCTATATAATTGTGAGTGGTGTAGTGGAAAAAATGGTAGACAGAGAAATGGTAGACAGAGGACTTGGGGTTAAATCCCATCGCTGCCCTAGCTATGTGAGCTTGGGTAAGACAATTAACTTCTCTGTTCTTCTGTTTCTTCATGAAAAATGAGATCAGGGCTTCCCAGCGTTTTTGGTTCCTCAAACTCCTTATGACAACAACAAAAAAGTGTCATAAACTGCCAAGGCAATTTAAAACACTATTCATAATATTATTTCAGATTTATTCATGAAAGGCGTAAAATAACTATAATGATAACTTTTGCTCCCCAAAAGCTCCAAATTAAAATTTATGTTATTTGATTGTAATTATAAAATTTTACTCTACTTATAATTATGAAAATTCTAAATATAACATTATGAAACTGTAATCATAAAGTAATTATGGAAATATTATATAGGATGTTCTGTAAAAATTTTAAAAAGTAATCCAGCAAGACCTCATATGCTTACTCTTAGCTACAAGATTTAATATTAAATAAATTTCTTTATTTTACAAATTTTGTTGACTATAAATAACATTT